TTCGGGCTCAAAGATCACCATACTGCAAGTCCTTGCCACTGTAGTGCGTGAGATGGCTTGCCCTAGAGTCCTGTTAAACGTCGTTGCAATAGCCGAAGCCGACTGACGAGGATCTCTTCTTGCCTGCTGCACAATGTAGCGGTCGTCCCTTGGTGTAGTTGTCCTTGGTCGGCCACCTCCTCGTCTTCGGGCAGCAGTACCAAAGGTTCGGAACGCTCTCCATGCACGTGAAACAACGCTGTGAGCGATACCGAACTCCTGGTACAAGCCGTCATTGTTTGACCTTCTTCGAGTTTCCCTATGATCCTTCCTCGAGTGAAGTCATCCAGATGCGTACTACCACAGTTCTTTGCAGCTACTCGTTGATTGAGAAAAAAATTTTTTTCATCCATAGAGGCTCTGTTTTGCGCGGGTCGGCCATATTTGGCACTTTATTCAAGCTCTTCTTCCACCGAGAAAAGTCTAGCTTCCTGTGCATATCCCTTAGGCGAGTGGCAACATGCTCCCACACTTTCATTTACTTCCACCCAGTCATTAGTGTTTTATGTTACTTTATCCATCTCGTCCCTCGACAGTTTTGCACACACAAATGTATTAGGTTGTTTGCCATTAAGTCGCTATACACGTTTGATCCTCTCCTATTTCGTTCGCATGGATGTTGGTATTACGTCATCACGTGTGCGTGACGTGTACATTATACTCTTTCATTACACTAGCTATCACTCACCGAGCTTGCATTTGCAGTACACAATGTCGCACAATTGCAGCTGATGCAAAACGTACCTCCGCCACTGTTTGGTTTTTGCTCCACGATTTCGGCTGGAATGCAAAGGAAGCCCATACCAAGCTGGTGGATACATACGGTGAGGACGTCATCTCTTACATGACATGCAAGAATTGGTTCGCCAAATTCAAGAAAGGAGACTTTTCTCTCGAATGCTCCGAGGTCGGGTCGGCCGATGGAGTTGGATTTGGAAGTACTACGTTCCACCGTGGAGGAGGACCCGTACCTCACCACCAGAGAAATGGCGACCATGCTTAGCTATGATCATTCGACGGTCACGTGGACTAGAAAAGCTCGGCAAGGTAGCAAAGCTTGGTCGATGGGTCCCACATGAACTGTCCGCTTATGACCTCTCGAGGAGGGTGACCACCTGCACTTCTCTCCTCACTTTCCAAAAGAGGCTTCACTTTCTCAACCGATGATCACTGGAGATGAGAAGTGGGTCCTCTACGATAACCCTGTGAGGAAGCGGCAGTGGGTCGACAAAGGAGAACAGCCAGAAGCCACCCCAAAGGCCGACCTTCACCCCAAAAAGGTTCTCCTGCCCTGTTGGTGGTCCAGAAGAGGCATGGAGTCAGCTGCGGAGCTGCTGGAAGAGGAGACAGACGATTGACGCTTCCACATACGTGACCCAGCTGCGGAAATTGAAAGATCACGTCGACCGTACTCGTGGAAGGAATGCGGAAATCTACTTCCACCATGACAACGCCCGACCTCACACTGCAAAGGCGACCCAGGCCGAGCTGGAGAGAAAGTATGGATGGCTGATGGTCGCCCACCCTCCCTACAGCCCTGACCTCGCTCCTTCTGACTACTGGCTGTTCAGCCACCTGCAGCGCTATCTGGACGGAAAAAAGTTCGAAACAAAGGATCAGGTCAGAAAGGCGCTCGACGACTTCTTCAAGTCCCAGCCTCCGCGTTCAGAAAGGAGGACAAGCTGCCTGAGCGCTGGCGTCGAGTAGTGAATGGTGATGGTGCATACCTCTAATCTCCAGGCTGGTTCGTTTTTGAGATATTTACAAAAAAGTCGTGTATAAGAACTTATGCGACAACCTAATATTTGGCAGTACTAACCAAAATAATTTTGTCGTACCGATATGAAAAGCTCCAAATTGCTTCGAGGCTACGATTGTCATAAGCCCGTCTGAAATCCCATCACAGCTACGCAATTTTCTCTTATTTTGCTTATCCCTTCTTTTTTCAGAAAAGAAGTGACAATCAACGGACGTAGGGTGAGCATCAAGGGTCTGGCTGTGACGCTGACGGGTCCTGTTCCACTCCTTTATCTGGAACCCAAATTCAAGAAAGGCTCGTAAGTATTTGAGAGCAGATATAACATTTCTGACATTGTTCTGACAATGCGACAGTATTTCAGAAAACTCGAACAGCAGATTTTTGATGGCAATCCCGTCAAAGAAGAAGTGGCAGTTGGACGGTGCGTGCTAGACTTCCTCTAGGGAAAAAAATCAAAAAATCTAAACCTGACTGAGAAGACTAAGGTCTCAATGACAGCGTGCGCGATTGACCAACGTGCAGAAGCCTCATGTACAAGATGGCGCTGTTCTCAGTCGCAGAGGGTGTCCCGTTCCTTGGCTTCCCGAATCGGCGCTAGTTGAAAGCTCCTCAGTTTCCCGTGACGCCCGCGATCGCCTTTCGAATGTAGAGCTCAAAACCATCAGATCATGTGGCAAATGGAACGTCAATGAAGAAAAAAAGCGAAAGAAGGCGCCCAAAACGACGAGCCTTTGAATTACGAAATATCACGAGCTTCGTTCACACGCCTGATTTTGGCGCCCAGGAAACGAACGAGAGCCCCTCTGAATTAACGAAATATCACGAGGCTTCGTTTCACCCTGATTTTATACAAAACCAGTCGACGCCTCAGGGTGCCCGCCGGTGCTCCTCCTTCTTGTAAGTCGTTTTGTTAGATAACTGCTGTTTTACGCCGCAGTACGCGTTACGAAAGTTATCACAAGAATGCTGAGTTATGGGCAAAAGTCGTGCCCCAGGCGGGAGTCGAACCCGCACCTTTCCGGGCGAGTGCGCTATCCGTTACGCCACCAGGGCCTATTTCACCCTCTCAGCTTAACGGCTTATGCCGTAGCCTTACAGCACTCACACGTTTAACTTGGTGAGCCGGTCAGCCGTAATCGTTAGATATCGGCATGGAACCGCGAGGCCGAAGGCTTTACAATTTTTGAAGTCGTTTTTTTGTTAGAACGGATAGCGCACTCGCCCGGAAAGCGTGAGGTGCGGGTTCGACTCCCGCCTGGGGCACGACTTTTGCCCATAACTCAGCATTCTTGTGATAACTTTCGTAACGCGTACTGCGGCGTAAAACAGCAGTTATCTAACAAAACGACTTCAAAAACTTGTAAAGCCTTCGGCCTCGCGGTTTCATGCCGATATCCCATCGATTACGGCTGACCGGCTCACCAAGTTAAACGTGTGAGTGCTGTAAGGCTACGGCATAAGCCGTTAAGCTGAGAGGGTGAAATAGGCCCTGGTGGCGTAACGGATAGCGCACTCGCCCGGAAAGCGTGAGGTGCGGGTTGACTCCCCGCTCTGGGGTCACGACATTTTGCCCATTAACGCAGCAATTGCTTGTGATAGCTTCCTCTCTGTTTCATGGCCCGGCTTCGCCAGGCATTCTTTCCTTGGGCAAGGTAGAATGCGCTAAATGTGGAAAATGATGGCAGCAATTTTTTTTATTGAAAATGAGTTGAGAAAAGCTCAACATTAGTCATTATCTATCAACATCTGCCTCCCCCCTGCCTATACAGACTTTCAACCGTGAGAAGGCTGCACCATATCATCAAGGACCGCAGTTGCGACAGCAGAATGGGTAAAGTTGAATTAGTCCGGATGAGTCCTTAACCAACCGCCGGAAAAGAGGCATCACTGCAGAGTAATGGGTGGCTCTGAAAAGGAGAACTCCACATTGCTTGCTCATATAAAAGTTTGTGTCGCGCATACACGGAGAGCTCGAATGACCACCGGCAGGATGCTCCCACTCCCAATTGTTGGGTTCCCTCCTTATTTTGCATCAGTTGCGACGTCACCTCCTAACACATCATAGGAGGCAGAATTGCCTAAATTTTTTTAATTGGTGAATTTTCGATTATTCCCAGTCTCAGCGCACAATAACCCGCCCCATCCTCCCCGCTCGACAGCAGCTATGCATCTAAAAGGCTAACACTTCATTGGACACCTTGACTCTGTTTGCCGCTGTTGACCATGCTAAAGGAAAAGTTCACACACTGCAAGCCTCACTACTCGGCCACTAAAGGCGGCGGTTAAGAATTGATTAAAATGTTGCGCTAGGTAGTGTGAACCACCTTGACAGCGACAACGACTGCAACTTCACTTATCAGTCTCTATCAGTAGTTATCGCTTCCAGTCACCCACGATTCATGTCCCCATCTCACCCTCTATATCACTTGCTGAGACGTACGCCTCACTGATGCTGTGCCCTGCGCTGTGAATACGCTGCTCACCATTCTAACGCCCCTTATCGAATCTTATCAGCAGCATACAGTTCTTGTCACCCACCAATTATGTTCTTGGCCCATACCCTTTATATTATTATATATTGGAATCAAGAGCTAGCTGATGCTGTCACCCGCGTTATGAATATGGTGACCTCCGCCTTCTAACGCCTCTTATCGGATCTTATCAACTGATATCACTTCCTGTCACCCACCAATAGTGATTCCCGTCACAGCCCCTACATCACTCCTTGGAACCAATTTCTCACTGCTACTGGGACCGGCGCTAATGCAACTCCCGTGTACAAACAGGACAGACAGACAGACAGACGACATCAGACAGACAGACAGATCCAGATCAGACAGACAGCCACACAAAGCGACCGTGAGCGAGGAGAATGGAATTAAGGCCCAAGTTTCGTTGTGGATGGGGGAAGGGATAAGCTCTGAGAGAGGTAAGTAACTCTTGTGGGCAAAAAACGGTGAAAATGGTATCTCATTCGAAACTAGCGGGTGTTACCCTCTCCCACCACTCATCATAAACTCAAAGCGAAAAATGTTTATCGTGCTTTTAGACACAAATGCCCCTCCTTAGAAAAACTCAATTCCAAGATAGATCTATGCAGACATTACATATACGCTTGCACTCTTGTTTGTTCAGATGGTGGGTTGGACGTGTGTCTCCCGTTGAAGTTGGCGTTCAACTGGCCAGAGATCCGGGTCTGATCATGGGGAGCTATGCAGTTTGCCAACCTCCAGTGAGTTGAGCATCCTAGTTCTCGCCTGGCAAATGGAAAACAGCCCTAACTACAGGAAATGGAGCCACTGGAGCCTGGCGAATGGGCGGAGTTTGTGCTCGTTGTTAGGAATGTGTCAGGTTAGAGCTAGCTTGAGAGCAACTTTGACATTTTTTTACGTCCTCGAGACGTTATTTTAAGGAAACGTCGATCAGTGGGTATACGAATGGGATCTCAGCAATAAGTACAATCAGAAGTTCGGCAAGAAGTTCAAGGTAGTGGAGTTCTGTTGTTGGAGACCTTTAATCGACTAATCAACAGTGGTTCTTCAGGAAAGAGACATTGGAAATGACATCATTAAAGGCCCACCAAACAGCCCCATTCCGCCTATTGCCTACTACATTATTAAAAGAACACCGTAAGTACTACAGCACAAGCGCTATTTCACGATTTGAATACATAAAAGCTTTACAGCCAGGGAAAATTCTTTTCTGGTTCAAGAAGACACTTTCCGGTCCATCGACTTGTTGCTGTCTCACTACTACAGTAAGCTCCACAAAGTAGTTTGAAATTTTCGAACAGATAGACAAATGAGCAGACAGACGTAATTTTTCATACAGTCCTATCGCTGCAGATGCTGAGGGTGTCACGGGGCTAGATTCGGCGCGGCGCCAGCCCGTCCTCCGCCAACTTTTGAACCAGGCAAACGACAACAATTGGTGAAGTACGGATTGGCTCCGCGTCAAACCCAACCTTTTTGAACTGCCGCCTAAACCTACACCCGGAAAAACGGCCGGACGAGTTTTACGGGCGCAAGTCGTCCACTTCGTTGTGGGACCACGCGTCCCTTTAACTTCATTTGAATTAGGATACTTCAATAAGAGCGTTTTTTTGCAAGATTATCGCTTTTGTGCGTAATCACAGTTAATATTTTCGAGATCTGCTTCTGCTTAGATTAGGAAACATGAAACCTGAGGTGCATCAGATTGGAGGGTAGCTAAGCCTCCATCCGATGGGTGTAGCGGTATAGAATAAGAATCAGATTGGAGGGTAGCTAAGCCTCCATCCGATGGGTGTAGCGGTATAGAATAAGAACATCAGTTTTTATATAGGTTTATTCGTATTAAGCATGAACACAGGGAAGCAAGGTAGGAAGGACAAGGGCAGGGCAAGGCCAGCGGCCAGTCGGAGGCTGCTGCCAGCCAGGGGTAGATAACTCCTCTCTCTCTCCGTGAGCGGCTCTTAAGTAGCCTTTCCATGATGCGTCATCATCCCAGCGAGTCGGCGTGGGTGGCTCCGCCAGACGAGATCGGGTGGATCTCTGATGTAAGCCATCATCCATATGACAGGTGCAACCGGAAACTTGAACACTTCAAGTGCATCTTTTGTTTTAGGGGTTATATCCCGTGGGGTGCCACCATTTCAAAAGTTCTGCCACTCAGCGTTGGATTTCGACGCAGGAAGATATCTACATCCTATCTTCGGTATTCTGTGCACAAAACCGCTGTTAGAAGGGCTGTTTGTTAGATGTCTGGCGCGCGAAAATTTCCGTTTGACATGTGGTTTGGCAGACATTGACTCGCTCCGTTTTAGAGAGCTCTCAAGGGAAAGAACTATTGAGTTTAGGAGAACAACAACTAGTCTCTGTTAGATCTAGATTCACGCAGCTGTAATGGAGAAGGGTACAGCTGCGTGAAAACGTGAACTACTCCTTCAGGATCATTGGCAGATATTCATGCTTATAACCAGGCCCATTGTAACGCAGTCCACAACATAATAACGCTCTTACTTGTATCCCCACCCCCTTCTGCAGGTGAACGAGAGCAGCCCCGAGTACAAACATGGGAGCCACTCTTGCTCATGCGGAAGCTCCGGAACCAATCCACAAAGCCAAAAGCAGTATGCACTTACCAAAGCACGAAACAGTATCCACTTTCATGAGCCTTTCGAAGCAGAAGCTGATCTAGAAAATGTTAACTAGGCGCTGTTTATCGACGGGGGGGGGGCATTTCGTACTATCACTGCTTCCCTTGTTCCGGTTTGCAAATCTCACTTTGGTAAAACTTGTGAACTCTTGTAAAGCTGGAGCAGGATCGTCTAGCCACCATCCCAAAACGTGTCAACTCGAGAAAACGCTACCTAGATGGGTCGACACATCTATGGAAAGCAAAATGCCCACCCCCGTCGATAAACTATTAACTATGATTACGCACAAGAGCGGTAATCTCACAAAAAACCGCTCTTATTGAAGTATCCTAATTCAAATGAAGTTAAAGGGACGCGTGGTCCCACAACGAAGTGGACGTAAAACTCGTCCGGCTGTTTTTCCGGGTGTAGGTTTAGGCGGCAGTCCTTCTTGACACCTCCCCCACCTCCGGCATCCGCAGCAACAAGACTACATACAGTAGAGATAGAGAATGCTCAGAAGGGAGCATTTCGGAAGAGACAGTTCACGGACACCACTATATGCGTAGGTAGGCAACTCAATGCGCGTAACATAGGGAACAAACTTTGAGGAGCGGCTTCAGATCAGCTACTGTTCTTATTTGGTTGACACAACACAATACACTCGATTTGACGTCAACACGGCATCTAGACGCCAAATCGAGTGTATTGTGGCAGAATACATCATATTCCGTATATGTGACGGCTCTATAAGAAGCTGTAAGCTGTAATGACCCATTGATTTGATTTGTAGTTACGGTACAGCATCGTTGTGCAAAACCCATAGGGGGTCGCACTTTGCCGCTTGGGAGAGGGTCGTAAACGCAGGGTGAGTGAGTAGCAAATAGCACAAAACTGTCATCGCTAAATTGATAGAGCGGACGGAAAACTGCAGATGACCCGGATGTGAGGAAGACACAAAATATCAAAACAACTGATCGGCACTTTTAGTAGTTAGCATGAACTCTTGAGTACGTAGATGACTAAGAAATACATCCTAAACAGATTCCACAGCCTAAGCAAACATCTGCTTGAATGGACAAAAATCACCTAAAATAAGAAGTTACACCTTTCCACCACCTCTGCGTAAAAGCGTAATGCACGGCGCACGCCGGGGCCAAATCGATCGATGATAACCATTATTCTTCAATCAGTTCAACGGAAATATGTGTTTCGAAGGCACATTGTAGTTCCCGAATGTATCCTTACAATGGCACAGAAGGAGTCGAGCTTTCGAGTGGCTCAGAATGTCGCCCAATGGTGACACATCTGAAGTATCTCCTAAAGCAGCGTGTCTTCAGGGAAACTGTACAGCTTCTTGGAAGAAGGCAATATTGGGCGTTCTGATGGCGTTTCAAGTTTTGCGAAAGACTGCGTTTGAAAGAAGTTATTCTCGTCTGAAGCATGAAACCTCGTTCGCGATTCACCACTAACGCGTCCCTAATCCATTCCGAAATATTTCACGAACGGGGAAGATTCAGATTGCGAGTAGGTAGAGACGCACAAGTAGTAGAGGCATTGCTTCGAAACGCCGCCTTCCGTTTCTCAGAAACTCTACACCTAAAAAAGCTATCAATTCCAGGAAAAGGTCCGCGATTTCCACCCTGCAAACAGATCTGCTCCACCGCTAATTTGCTATGGAATCATTACGCGGCCACGAGCGCTTGCGAGTCATCCTACTATATAGAATCCGCTAAGTGTGCCTGTGTGGGGTGTGTAGGGGTTGCTGTGGTTGTGTGTTGCTGTGTGGTTGTGTGTGTGTGTGTGTTGTTGTGTGTCGTGTTGTGTGTGTGTGGTCACGATAATTCATCAGCAGCCTGTCCCAGTGGCAGAGAAACGTTGATTCCAGGAAGTGATGGAGGGGGTGTGACGGAAATACCATTGGTGGGTGACAGGATGTGATATCAGTTGATAATATTTGATAGAGTCTCAAAGTTCACTCTCCGCCACAGTGGCGGTCGAGCACAGCAGCAGTGGGACGTTGGTTCCGAGCAGTGAAATAGGGGGTGGGACGAAAACATTATTGGTAGGTGACAGGATGTGATATCAGCTGATAAGATCTGATAATGGGCATTAGAAGGGAAGGACTACCAAATTCATAGTGCGGCTCACAGGAACAGTGGGTCCTTGGATCCGAAGAGAGGTATATAGGGTGTGGACTGGAACTATTATTGGCAGTTACAAAAGTGATAACCAGTTGATAAATCCGATAAAGGCGCTTCGAAAGGGAGAAGTCATCAAATCGGTAACGCAGGTACAGCAACAGTGACATCGTACTCCGAGAAGGTCCATATAGCGGCGATATAATACATGATATGGAACGGCGTGTGTATTGTGGTGACGAAGTAACAGGAGCTGAAGAGTGACAGGTGACATGGAAATATCGTCACGTTCAACAACAACAATGCGATCGATATGACTCAAGTATAACGATCTCAATGATTCCAACAGAACTCATTCCTCACTGCTTATTAGTAACGACATCATGTACGACCGCTAAGCTAGCTCTATTTTAAAATGGGGTCTGTTCAAACGATGTTCATGAAGTCAGCCAGCAATTGACCTCGCCGCGTGATCGATTTGCTTACATTCACCTGACCATTATCTTGCCACTCAACAACCTAACAAGGGCCTCACTTAAACACAACTTAACATTAAACAGGGCCATACACAACCTTAACATTAAACAGTGGCCCTTAAACAACACTTAACAAGGGCATAAAGGGTTCCACTGCTGAGCGGGATGCATTCCAAAGCAGACGCTTTAGGAGGACAAATCGCAATCAATTATAGCTGCCTTCAGCAGCACTCCTAACAGGTTGCACTATTGCCGTGTAGGTTATGAACGTACCAGTCGGATCGCTGGCTAAGGCCGGCTCTCCTCCTTCTGTGATGCAGGGGCGCTGCTGTTGCTTCTGCATTTTGACGGAACAAGCGCTGCTTTTCAGTTCCTAGCTGATGTGCACGAAGATTCCTTTCAGCAATGTGTGGTTGGTCAACGATCCGTGACTTAGCACGCGACAAATCTGCATGGCCCGGCGAAGATGAGCCATGTCACAGAAGTAGGAGCGCCCGGCGACAGCTAGGCGATCCGAGTGGTTATGTATATAACCCTTCTCTTCAAAACAAACAAACAAAGCCGGAAAGGGGGAAAGGGTTGTATTGACACCGCCATTCCACGCATCACGACGCTGTACCCTGTGTGTAGTGTCGTGTCATCTATTTAAGACAGGCAGCTTGCGCGCGATGTCGCGCGTTATAGGTTCTGAACTACACTCGCGACATGGTGGGTACAATGGTAGGCGTGCGCCCCAGGAGCGCGCGCGTCTGATGCCGCCTGGCTTCAACGAAGGTGGTTGGGACCGCAGAGCCGTAGTTGAACGTTCCGTGGCTGTCACCTCTACAGAAAAGCATGATTTCATCATTCATAAAACTTAAACTCCGCCTTATTAAGCTCACCTACTGCCACTGGAAGGAA